CAGCTCAAGGCTAGCGCTCTACCACTTGAGCCACAGCACCACTTCCGGCTTTTTTTCTTTTTGCTTATGTGGTGCTGAGGAATTGAACCCAGGGCCTCGAGCATGCAAGGCAAGTGCTCTACCACTGAGCCACCTTCCCAGCCCCATGAATACATTTCTTTTTAGACAATGTAACCCATTCCCTCCCTTGTGCTTGTGATTTTTTTTTTAATGTTTTCATTTTAGCTCTTCTTTAAGAATTTTGTTTAATGAACTACCCCTTACACAGACATGTCTAGGCAGGCACTGTGGACAGCATCTAACTTTGAGAATTGTCACTGCTTTTTCTGAAGATACGAACTCGCTCAGCAGCTGCAGCAGCAGCAGCAGGCTGCCTCAGGGGATGACAGCACTGTGGACCAGCAGGGTCTCCAGGTGTCTGCACCCATGCCAGTGGAGATGGAGAGCACCGAGCTGCAGCCGGCAGCCGAGCCAGTCACCGCCGACCCCGAGGCCATGCTGGACCTGGGCCCTCAACACGTGGTGGGCACAGAAGATGGAGGCCTCCCGCAGCCGCTGGCAGACCAGCCTTTGGAGGCTGATGAAGGTAGACTTAGAAGTGATGCTGTAGTCAGTCCACACCCCTCATACTTACCACATTCATGTTGGGATCTCCCAGCTTTTTGGGGGTCTCTGTGTGTCTGTGTTTGTGTGTGTGTGTGTGTGTGATAGAACAACATGCATGACATTCGAGAGCTGTCATCCGTATCAGCTCCATCTCTCTGATTCTCACCTCAGATGGGTTTGCAGCCCCCCAGGACCCTCTCCCAGGACACATGGACCAGTTTGAAGAGCAGACTCCTCCACAACAGCCCTTTGAGTCAGCAGGGCTACCACAAGGTCAGCGAAAGCTCACTGACACTTGCAGACAGGCTGCCCTGTGCTGGGTTTGCTTTGATAACTATTGGAGGTGTTTTTCTGAAACACTTCTAAAATTTATGGTTTCTTTTTTTTTCTTTTTTTTTTTGGGGGGGGGGTCCGGTCGTGGGCCTGAACTCTGGGCCTGGCCGCTGTCCCTCAGCTCTTCAGCTCAAGGCTAGTGCTCTACCACTTGAGCCACAGCACCACATCTGGCTTTTTTTTTCTGCTTATGTGATGCTGAGGAATCAAACCCAGGGCCTCAAGCATGCAAGGCAAGCGCTCTACCACTGAGCAACCTTCCCAGCCCCTAAAATTTATGGTTTCACACCCAATAATTTTGTCATGAATTTTGTAAATTTTTATTGCACATACTACTGTGTGGTCCTCTCAGATCTCCTGAATGTGACTTAGTCACTTAGAGTGCCACACAGACCTCTCCTAGTTCTCACTCAGTAGAAATGTCTCTAGATACTTTTTATTTAACATATTGTGGAGCTCCTTTTGTGCTCTGCTTCAGGCTTCCCAGTGACTGACACATACAATCAACAGACTCCGTTTCCACCTGTGCAACAACTGCAGGATTCCAGCACACTCGAGTCCCAGGCCCTGTCTACAACTTTCCACCAGCAGAACCTATTGCAGGTTTCCAGCTCGGACACCATCAATGTGGTGCGTGTTTGCTGAAGGGGTGCATGCCTCTCGCTGCTCAGCAGGGGCCCTCCGTCCTCTGCTGTAACCTTTTCCTTTGCTTGCTGAGAGGACCTGTCTGTTCTCATGCCGTTCAGGTTAGCACGTGCGGAGACCTTGCTTTACAGCACACAGGGCTGCCTTCATCCCCTCCTCTCCCCTCTCCTTCCTTCCCTCCTCTCCCCTCTCCCCCTCTCCTCTCCTCTCTCCTCCCTTCCTCTCCTGTCCTCTCCTCTCCTGTCCCATTCTCTCCTCTCCCCTCCTCCCCTCTCCTCTCCTCTCCTCTCCTCTCTCCTCCCTTCCTCTCCTCTCCTCTCCTCTCCTGTCCCATTCTCTCCTCTCC